ATGTTCCTCAAGAACTTGGAGTCCACTCCCTTAAGAGACTCGTATCTTTGTGATCGGGGTTTCTTGATGCCGTTTCTATGCGATTTTTGGGACTGGTTGTGCGTAGTGTGGTGCTTGAACTTGGTTATGTCTGCACTGAAGCCTGTGGGTCGCTAAGTTTCTGGGACTAGAAGTGAAAGAGTGACCTGCCCCCCTGTTTTTGTGATGCTAGGCCCTGGCTCTGAGACGCGACCCTTCCACACCGTCCCATTTCCCATTCTTTTTTTAAAGATTTTTTATTTTTTTTATTTTATTGGGGAACTGGGGGGATGGGAACAATGCTGGGGAATTGGGGGAAGGGGAACAGACAAGTTGCTGTCGTTTTGTTCTTCAGTCTAGTTGTGGAGGACGTTGCTTCACTGGCCCAAGTTGGCACCATCATTGCGCTCTTCCTGGGGCGAGGCAGATCAGTCGCCGGCTTCTGGACGGCCGCTCACTGCGGCTGCTGGCCGCTCACGCTGGCTGCTGGCTACACACGGTAGCCCATGGCAACCCACTGCCACAGGGGCTGCAGCCTACGCCGTCGCTGGTGACTCACGGCAGCCCAGCTCCAGGTTGAGCTGTTGTTCAGCATCTTAGCTGTGGAGGGCAGTGTCACTGGCCCTCATATGTGGGATCCGAACCGGGGCCCTTTGGCGTCCCAAGCCAGTTCTTAACCATTGTGCCACTCGGCCGGCCCCCACTTCCCATCCTTAAAGCAGTATTTCGATCTCTGGTAAGAGCTTTATATAAATACTGTCTTGTGGAATTTTCTTTTTCCCTGAAATAGAGCTTTAGCAATGTTTTCATTCCTCACTGTTGGGCTGTTGGACTCTTCCTCAGTGAAAATTCTTCAGGAGTAGGTCTTGCCCAGTTACAGTTCTTCGGTAGGTCTGCTTTGTGATAGAAATGGTATTTGGTGTCTGGAATAAGAGTCCTTGTGCTACAGCACTCGATGCCACCTGCTCCACTTTGTTCCAAAGTGGCAATTGGCCTACATCCCCCAGGGTTATTTCTGTCTTGTTCTGTCTCCGCTTCCCTACTCTCTCTAGCACACCCTTCCTCCACCCCAAATCCCACAATGGGTTTTCTTCCAAATCTGGGCAGGCATTTTTACCCAGATCTCATTTTCCCCCACTCCTCTAAGAAACCCTAGCAGGACCTGGCTAATTCTGTGATGGCCCAGCCTGACCCGGCTCTTCCTTGAACCCGCCTGGTCCACCCAGGAAGCCCAGCCAGAGCAAGCTGTCCATGAAGAAGCTGGCATGTTGATTCACAGCAGGTGTCCTGCGAGGAGGGGAGGTCTCAAAGCAAAGGAGGTATATATACCACAGTGGTCTAAGCAGAACCTGCTTTCTAAGAGCAGGGATGAGAGGGGTTTATGGTACTCTGATGGTTTAATGACAATAATGGCTTTTCTTATCTATTATTCATGATATTACCCCTGGCAATCCTGTGAGGTATTTGGGGTGAATGTTATAGATAACGATCTCTCCAAGGATTTGGAGAAAGGAGCAAGCACCAGACATTTTGTGAGCCTGAGTATGAGCGAGGTTCTTGCACCTGCTGGCTGGTGTCACAGTGGGAGGGAGCATGTAGTTGGAGTGCGTCAGCACCCGGTTCGACACTAGACCCACCACTAACTGGCTGTGAGGCTTAGACAAGCTGTAAAACAGGGTGGCTTATTGTAAACTCAGAGCCTTGTCTGTCTCTTTTGTAACCTAGAGGTGGTAGGCCTGGGATCTAAACTTTAGCTCCCTGGTGCTCCGGGAAATAGCAGAGTCCAATGGCTTCAGCACAGGCTTTGCAGCCAGGCACAGCTGCTAGAGGAATCCTAGCATCGCTGTTCAACTGTCAGGGGACCTTGGCCAAGTCACTGAACTTGCTCTGAGCCTCTTTTCCACATGTGTAAGGTGGTGATGAAAATAGTCCCAGCCTTCAAAGGTTGTTATAATGATTGAATGAGAATGCAGGTGTTAAAGAAAAAAAATGGTATCACTCATGCTAAAAGCCCATGATACCAGACCTAGAGTTAATACTTGATCTGATTGCAGTTTCAACCTCTCCCAGAAACGTAATCTTAATCAATCAGTGTGAAATTTTCTGGTCTAGCACCAGTAAGGCAATCTGTCACGTAGGCATAGAGAGAAGAGGCAGTCTGCAATAAAAAGCCTTCCAGTTCTCATCACCCAAAGAGAAGTGTCCAGGCCCCAAATAATCTTTTCTTTTCTTTCTGACTAATAGTTCTCTTGTCCCCACCCTGCTTCCTATAATATAAAGAACTTCCATTTTGTCTAAACCCTTGGAATGCCCTTCTAGTTGCTAGATGGCATGCTGCCCAATCCATGAATCATTTAATAAAGCTAATTAAATCTTCCAATTTACTCAGTTGAATTTTGTTTTTTAACACAGGTAAACTATCTTTTTGTTCCATAAATAGTAGCCCCTATTAATATTATTTTCATCATTACTATTGGAAAAGGATGTTTTAATGTCCTGGGAAGCCAGCCACCTACCTGGGATGGAAATGTATTCAATTAATAGGTCTTCTCTTGAAAAGAGAAGAGCTGGAGAAGCTTTTCAGCCCCTGCCTTTGGCTGACAGCTGCTCAGCTGGGCTGGTTGGGCCTCTGAGGCTGCTCCCCAACTCCCCAGTTGCAGATCTGGTTTCTTTTGCCCTCACAAAAGGCCTTGGCAGAGCTGCCTACGAGAGCCAAGGTCTCCAGGGTCCCCAGGAACAGAGAGCAGCCCACAGAGGCCATCCATGGCTGCTTTCTTACCTTACCCGGCCCCACTTCGTTTCCCTTCTCCCCAACTCTCCTGGGACTCACTCCCCTGAGGAATGTCGGCTTGTCTGAGCCCCTGGAATCTGACTGGTGAGGTGCATACCTGGATACCTAGGTCCCCTGGGCACCCCATCCTCCAGTCATGAAGACCTCAGCAAGGACTCGCATCAGCCAGGTGGGCTCCTGTTGTTCGGTACCTTCTCCAAATCCACACAGTTGTTAGGAAATTGTTTGGACAGTGTTGCCTTTCTTGGCTTCTCCTAATTTGTGCCAGTTTTTCTTTGTAATTGCGTAGAATGGTGTAGACTGCAGGGGGTAAGAGGACCATCTTCAGGGGCAGCTGGCCCTGGTTCACATGGCCTTTCTTCACCCTGCCTGGCATGTACTTATGAGGCAGGCACTGTATGGAGCATGGTTCCACGTGTTTGCAGGAATTAGGATTATCTCATGAATTCTCATAACATCGCCATTAGACAGCTTCTCCTAACAGATGAGGACATTCAGGCACAGAGTGGTAAAGTAACTTTCTCAAGGCAGCATAGCGTGGGGTCTGTGATAACAAAGAAGGAGTCCCTGGGAGGGGAGGCAAGAGAAATAGAAGAAAAAGAGGAAGGTTACTTGACAACCTTTCCCAGAGCCAGTGTCTCCTCAGCCCCAGGGATGTGGCTTCCAACTGATTGAGCCACTCGACTCAGTTTTTCCAGCAGGAGGTGTGGGGCCAGGGAGAAGAGGTCAGCAGGATTGAAGGGAGAGTTTATGAAGATGCAAAAAGGCCTTCCCAAGGAAAAACACATCCTACCAGATTTGGCAGGCAGGCTGTGAAAAGGTGCAGTCTTTCTGCGAAGGAGAAGGAAGCCAGCAAGGACGCCTTTTCCGCTGGTCACAGCAACCATTTAATTCAGAATCTGTATTTCGATCCCAAAGGAACTCAAGCCACCCAAGTCGTGAATACATATGAGCCTAATGCAGCCTTGCGGGCAATAAGACAATGAAGATGGCATCCTTGATTGCTGTGGTTACTAGTTGGTTTTAATTTTTGAATGAATGAACAATTTCAGATATAAGAGCCTTGGCCCTTATATCTGAAATATCACCAAGAAATGTCACCGTCAGCAGAGATTTTCTTATTTCTTCTGATATGTGCCTTCTGCCTCCTCCCAATGGTTCAGCAGTTTCCTCTTTGCCTTTCCTAAAAGAACCTGCATTTCCCTTCCCTGGCTTCCTTTCCGGCTTCCTGTGTGCTAAGCCTCTTGCAGTTTGTCATCAGTGTCTTCAGAACGCTTTTGATAGGTACAGGAAGTGGCACCAGACGGCAGATGAAACCAGAAATCAATAAAAAAGGAACTATGTTTCTAAGAAAAATGCATCACTGGCTTCCCACAGGAGTTATGTACCATATGTCCTAATATCCGTGGAACAATGGATCTAATTTTTAGTTCTCCTTGGCTTTCCCAGCGCTCTCAACAACAACAAAATAGACCTTTTAACCTGATGCAGCCCAGCTTACTGATGATGAATAGCAAAGATTGTCTTTCATTTTAACCCTTTCGTTAGATATCACAGAATAAAATCTCTCCCTTCTCTCCCTCCAGCTTTCTTTCTCCTGGCTACTAGCTTAGTATATTTATGGTGCATGAGTCACCAAGCTGCTGCCTGATTGGATAAAAACCAAGCACCCCTGAGACCATCCGTCAATTACAGCTATTCTCAGCTTCATTCACAGATTTATTAGCTTGCACACACACAGCGAAATTCATTCAGCAAAGTTCATTCATAAAAATTTCAACACTCTGCGTATCATCCTGCACATCTCAGCCTTCTGCTGCCCACGCGCTCCTGAAAGCAGCTCTGAGACCGTGCAGGAGGGAGGGAAGCTCTGAGCGTGGACGGGCAGGCTGGGAGGGGATCCGAGGAACGCGTAGGGACCGCAAGTCCCTGAATGCTATGCAGCGCCGGTCACTAGTACTCCTGGCTCGTGGCCCAAACGGATGCAACACAAGATCTTCCAAGAGAGGGCAGCCATCAGAATTAACGAACTCAGGCAGAAGAAGCGCCTTTGGCTCATGTATACCTTTTCTTTTTATTCCCTTTTTAAATGAACAATCACTGGAACAAATAAAGGGTTAACAGACCAGTCATTGCCCCGCCCTGTGGGAACCGGAGGGAGCAGGTTTGAAAGTTCCTGTGTGCGGCTGAGAGGCTGGGGGTGGGGGTGGGGGGGCGCTAAATATTTCTGCGAGGCTCCTGCACCGCTGGTGATGCGGCGGCGGGACCCGCGGGCGGGTGCTTCGCCGGGCTCTGTGCCTGAGAGTTGGTGGTAAGCGATCCCTGCCCCCGCGAGCCTGGACCCAGACTTTTCCAGCAAGGAATTCAAGGCAAGAACACCGGGCGCTGCAGCCTGGGCCAGGGAGGGACTGAAATCAGCTGGGGAGGCGTTTTCCCCTTGGGCTATCACCCCAAAGGGCCCGGGAGCAGAGCTGGAGAGGTGGCTACCGTGAGTTGCGCGGGTCGTTGAGGCATTTGTTTTCCGTACCGTTTATCTAGCAGACGACGAGGCGATTTATGCAACAGTATCCTGTTTCTGCACTGCCAAGGCTATGCGAGAACGCAGTCAGGACAGCTTGGCAGGACTCGTGCTGTATGTAGGACTCTTCGGGCACCCCGGAATGCTGCACAGGGCCAAGTACAGCCGCTTTCGGAATGAGTCCATCACATCCTTGGACGAAGGCAGCCCCGGAGGCTCCGTCGGGAACAAGAGCTCGCAGCAGCCTCCGTACCCCGTCCTGGCTCCTCACTTGCCGGCTGAAGATGCCACCTTGGCGTCCCAGGAGAGCCCCACCCCACTGTGCACCTTGATCCCGCGCATGGCCAGCATGAAGCTAGCCAACCCAGCCACCTTGCTGAGTCTGAAAAACTTTTGCTTGGGTACCAAAGAGGTGCCCCGGCTGAAGCTCCAGGAAAGCCAGGACCCAGGTCCCAGCAACCCGGCTTCCCCTGAAACCAGCCTAAACAGGGCCGGGTTGGCACCTCAGCCGCAGCAGGACGTGGTGAGGCACCGGGCCACCACCTTAGCTCCTGATGCCTGCCCTCTCCCCGGCCCTGGGGAGCCAACTCCGGGGAGCAGGCAGGACAGGCAGTTTCTGCAGCACCTGTTGGGGATAGGCATGAGCTACTATGTGAGGGTAAGTCCATCCTCTTTTCTGCACTCCTAGGAACTCCTGGGGAAAGGGGCATCTTCTCAGCTTTTGGCAGGGGCTGCACGCAGCCTGACTGTGGCCTAGGTTTGGACAAGACATGCAACTGGACCAAGGGAAGGAGGGGAGCTGGGCTTGCAGGCTTCCCTACAAATATGTGACTTATACTGGAGTCAGACAACTTTGGTTCAAGGGCATGAACTGGTTCTAACTTGTAGGTTGTTGCCAGTTGAGGGGGCAACTTCTGATAGGGACAGCCGAGGTGGCGTCTCCTTGTCCCCACTGGACCTCACCTTCTGGCCCACGAGAGTTAAGAATTTCAGATCTGATTAGTGATTGAGACCTGGTAGGTTTTACTGGCCATTGTATTTCAGTAGACATTTCTGTGCTAGAGGAGTATATAAATTGAATTATTTTTTAATAATTTAATTCAGCACTTAAGAAACACTTACAAAGCATGACCGAGTCTCTAGCCTTGTATGAGGAGCTAGTCTTAGGTCTTTGGTGCTCTTTTTTTTGCCTTTATTGCTTACACTGCAGCAAGTGGGCCTGATCCGTGAGCTCTGAGCACAAGCAGGATCCTTGCTGGCCTTGTAGCTGCCCTTGCCCAGTCCAGATCTGGGTAAAAGAGGAAAACAAGATTTGGCCCCTGCCCTTCTGGAGCTCACATTTCAATCGGGGAGACCCATGAATGCATGTGAAATAGTAAGACAAATATACTTAGCAATAAATAGCTGTGTGAGAATGCTGAGAGAATTCAGGAAAAGAAATAGGTTGTTGTGGTCTGGGATTCACTCACATGGGAAACTTCAGGAGAAGGTGAATCTTGGAAGAGATAGCAGACCTGGATTGGCAGAAGGGAGGAGATTCCTGGCAGGGCAAGAATACAAGCAGAGTCCAGAAGGCAGCAGGTTATCACTAGGGTGGCTGCAGGGGAGCATAACATGAGCTGGGATTAAGTGAAATGGAGGGGGAATGCTGGATGCTAGTGGGTGATACAGAGAGTGGCTGAGACCTCGTTGGTGCTCAAACAAATAGGAGTTGAATAAAGATGAATATGCATCGTGGGTAGCTTGGGGAGAAGGGAACATTGATAGAAGCTCTTAATGGTGGAATGAGAAGTTTTTAAACATTGATTGGCAAACAAAACCCCTCATAGGTTTGTAGGCAAACTGATTTGATGGAAGTGGTTTCCAAAAGATCAGTCTGTGGATATATTTGAGATGGACTGAAGGAAGGAAAAAGTGGAGATTGGAAGGCCAGTAAGAAAGATGCTCTGGAAGTTTAGGCAAGAGGGATGAAAACATGGATGAAGGTGGAGATAAGAGAAAGGAGATGAATGCAAGAGACTCTGTGAGAAGCCTCAATAGTTTTGGGTGATTGATCAGAACATTTCAGGTCATACTATAAATGACAATCATCACTTATTGAGCAGTGGTGGGTTTGTTATTGTTGTTTATGGAAGTTATGGATGATTAGTGATGAAGGATTGTGAGGTGTGAAAAATAATTTCAGATTTAAGCCTCGGAATGGGATTAGTGATGTCGGTGATAAAAACAGTGAGATGGGAAGGGAGACTCATGCTAAGTTTGCTTTTGACATGTTGCGGTTGAAAGCAATGATATCCAAGTGGCACTTATTTGTAGGTAGGCAGTCTAAGACTAGCACTCAGATGAGAAGTCTGATCTGAAGGTGTAAATTTGAGAGCTAGCCCAATAGCTGTATTACAAAAAGACAATCAAGATCTCTAGGAAGGCCAAATAATGAACATTGGAAGGGTTACAGAGAGAGCAGGCTTGGGACAGCCTCGGCAAATGGATAGCTTAACTCTCTAAAGAAGATAAATTTATGGGACACTCAGCTCTCATCCTCCCCCACAGGGGCATTGCTCCTAATGGAAATAGTTTCGTGTATCTATTAAAAGTTCAGGGGCACCTTCTCATTTGTCAAGCGTATATGTCTGCCAAACCCTAATGGGCAAACAAGTGACTTTCCAAACCCGTGGTCTCGGCACCTGCCCTCCCATCACCTGGACACCCTCTACCCTCTGCCGTGCCTTTCCTGCCCTCTTGCACCTCCTTCCACTCCCCACACCCACGCACCTGTACAATCTGAAATGTGCCAAGAGTCGCTGTGTGATCTCCATTTTCCCTGGGGAGTGCCTCCACTGGCATTTTAGGGTTTTAATGAGGACACCATCTGTCTTTTCCTGGCAATACTCACTGACCCCAGGAACAGTGCTGACCTGGGACCCAAGTGAGCCACACTATTTTACCAGTGTGTAAAGATACCAGTTAACACCTCTGTTAGGAAGCCAAAATACACGGAGGAGCCTACTTTATTCATTTTTATAGAATGCTAACTTTGAAAGATGGAAGGGACTCAGAAGTTATCAAGTTCAATGCCCCTGTGAGGAAACTGAAGCGCAGAGAAATGATTTTTTAAGGCCACACAGGAGAGTCAAAAGAGCTCCATCTATAGCCCAAGTCCCCTGCATGCCATTCTTTGCTCTTTTCACCACAGGTTTTCATCCTAGTTGAGCTTCTGTTTCTATGAATTCTTTGAGATGTAAACCAATTTTAAAAAATGCAATGTCAACCTGTGAATTTATAGTGAAAAATATCAGACCAAGTGAACCAAAATTGTGATCCCTGTATTCCCATGTGTAGGAAAACGCACATAGGAAGATCTCAATCAAAGGTTACTTGGTGACGATGAATCAGATCAGAGATGTGGGAGAGATGTTCTTAGTGGCTAATGGACATGGGGCCAGATTTTCTAGGCCAGAGACAGCCACATACTCCACTTCCTTACCCACGTCACATGACTGCTCACCTCCCCGCCCAAACTTATTTGTTTATTCATTCACTCATTTATTCAACAAATGCGTACTGTGAACCAATTATGAGACAGGAACGGTGCCAGGCCCTGAGGATATTTCAGTGAATAAAAGAGACCAGGTCTGAGTCCTGGTGGGACTTACATTCTAGTATGTGGAGACGGGCCCTGATTGAATAAACAAATCAATATGAGATGTCACGTGTAATAAGTGCTAGGGAGATCAATAAACGGGCAGTAAGAGCAGCAGTCGCGTGGGTGGAGATAAAGGTATTGTATTTCTTTGGAATAAAAATTGGCATAATTGTACCTATTCTTAATTTGGTTTCTTGCATGTTTTATCTTTACAAAAGGAGATATATTTGTCATATAGTTTAAGTTAGAGTGGACTTTGAGTTAAAAATCCTTTTCTAAAATAACTCTTCTTTTGGTCTTATCATGTAAAATCAATTATAAAAATGAAAATACTTTATGAATCCTGAGCACTTATTTTAATTTTATATATATTTTTTTCTTGGGGAACAGTCATAGTCATTGGTTACACATTGCTTTCATGCTACAATGGCATAGTTGACTCTTTTAAGGAGGGCGCAGCTCACAGTGGCCCATGCAGGGATCGAACTGGCAACCTTGGTGTTATCAGCACCAAGCTCCAACCAACTGAGCTAACCGGTCACCGCCCCCCCAGCACTTATTTTGAGTAACTTTCACTTAAGCTCAGTCAGGCCTTAAATCTCCTGAAGGTCTCTCAAGGAAGGTGGATTAGCATACCCTTCTTTGAGAGATACTGAGCCAGAAATGGACCGCCAGACCCAGTCGGAGCAAAGTAGTGAGGTGAGTGAAGTCTGTTAAACAGCGCCAAATGGTGACATATATTTCCACTGCAAGATTAAGTCTCATTTCTTTATGAAGTCTTCTCACGTCACTTCATTCATCAAAAATATTCACTTGGAGGTCTCCTAGGTGCCACACATCGTCTGTGGTGAGTGTGGAAATTATGCCATGTGACCAGTGTGCTTATTTCTAAAATGAGAGGATTAGTCTGTATGGCCTTGAAGGTGCCCCCTCCCTGCACCAGCATTTCATGACTCCAGGCGCCTTTCTCCACATGGGAAGTGTTTAAACTGTTAGTTGCCTTTCCCATCTTCAACGCCCAAATTTCCTACAATTTAGTTCAAAAGCTAAATAAGGCAGAGACAAAGAAACGAACCTTGACAGAACAGCTACAGGTAAACACAGTAGTCCTCACAGGAACCCTTTGAGGGGGGCTATATTCCCCAAGTGAGGAAAGAGACCCCAAAAGTATGTCATCTACCCTACACTTTACAGCCTAAGTAGCAGACGGGATTCACATCCAGGTTTGTCTCCCTCCAGTGCGCGTCTTCTTCCCACCCTCTCACCCCGCTTCCAAGCAGTGCAGGCAGCCCTGGAAGTCTGCGAACGGAGTAGTGTACATGAAGGCCCACTCTGCAGGGTAGCTTTACTACAGGACCAACCCATACAACTTGCTGTGTTGCATTCATTTGCATGATTCAGTCTTCTCACATCATCCCAACCCAACCCAACCATTTCCCCCGACTGTATTAATTCCCTAGGGCTGCTGTAACAAATATCACAAACGGGGTGGCTTGCAACAACAGAAATTGATTCTCTTGCCATTCTGGAGACTAGAACTCTGAAATCAAGCTAACAGCAGGGCTGTGCTCTCTCTGGAAGGTCTAGGGGAGGATCTTTTTTTTTTCTTTTTTTTTTTTTTTGCCTCTTCTATTTGGGAGGTTGTGTTTTCTATTTCTCTTCCTTGAGGGACCTCCAGCCTAACTATTGAAACTTCACAAAACCTCTTCAAACTGTTCCTTGAAGGGCCCTCAAGGGTTTCAGGGGGCAAGGTTTGATCTACAATTCACTGAAAATTTTGTTAACATATNCCTCTGAAATCAAGCTAACAGCAGGGCTGTGCTCTCTCTGGAAGGTCTAGGGGAGGATCTTTTTTTTTTTTTTTTTTTTTGCCTCTTCTAGCTTGTGGTGGGTGCCAGCAGTCCTTGGCATTCTTTGGCTTGTAGTTGTGTCACTCTAATCTTTGCCTCCATCTTCACATGGCTCTCTCTCCTGTGTGACAATGTTCAAATTTCCCTCTTCTTACCAGTCGTTGG